TGTGACACTTTCTCACCACCTGCTTTAACCCCTTGGACCCCGCAGAAGCATGCTGTTGGGGGGGCGCTTTCAGAGTGGCCCCATTTACTTGAATGTGTCGTGATTGGCAAAAGCAATATGAAAATGTGGTTTAGTTCCTGCTGCGGGACACATACACATTTTGCTGATGCCTCAGCAGCTACAGGGGGTAGGGATTAGGGGCAGTAAATCCCCTGACTCAACAGCAGGGTTTTACTACCCCCCCCCCCCAACTTTATGTGTGAACACGCCATAAGGGTGCCGCTGCCGAATGCAACTAAGGGCTCATTCACAAGTTCAGCAGGCACTGCTGCTCCTCTGAAAAGTGATCCAAGGGTGTTTGACAGATGGTGAGGAGGCGATATGTTTTCTCCACACTACCTGATTTAAACCATGATTGCCATGCAAGGTACACGATTGCGACACAGAAGTACAGCAATTAGAGGTTTAAATCACGTGTGAGGAGGTGACACTGGGCCCGGTGATCTTTGAATTTTTCCCATGTTCAGGTAGATCTTCACCTCTTTAAGGTTGCCTGCCCCTTCTCTAAAGTGAACTTGAGCTTTGTTTGTGCCTTCTAGTGTCTCCAACTTCACATACTTATCCTCCCTACACTCCGCCGCCACTCCATTAAGCCAGAAACCCTTTGTAAGCTCCAAGTCACAACTTGGACCTTGCCCAGGACTGAGGACTCTCTTCTCACCCCTTCGTAACAGTGTTGGGCCGAACATCAACTACCAGGGCTGTCATAAGGTAGGAAGCGGAGGAAGTCTACCCTGTACCCTACATCCAGCCATACTTGGTATTTTCTTCCAGGACATCTGGGGGCCAAATGGAGTGGTGGGGGAGTGAACAGAAGGTGAGTTATGTGCTATTGGGGAGGAGGAAAGTCAGGTGAACCTAAGGTTGCCACCTCATCATTTTGAAACCTTATCTACATTAAATTAGCCTCAGAACCTGTGTAATTAATATGTGTTCGGTTTAAAGGGATGAGTCGACAACCCTAAGTGAACCTATAACTGCCCCAAATGCGCACAATTGTTAGATCCTAAGACTTTAGATGTAAAGGAGGAGGGACTATTAGGAGATGATTTGTGGAGCAGTTGTTGTAGGTAGGCCTCGATTGCTGGGTCCATCACATAGACCCTGGTTTAGGGTGGCACCTTCTGGTTTCACCTTCTGGTGGTTGCCCAAGCTGTAATAGCGCAACCCGTCCTTTATATCCTATACACTCAATTACTTGTTCAAGAAGCAAGAGCTCCTTGGAGATTGTATCAAGAGCACTCAGCAAAGCATTTGTTTTCCTGTATCCCACCAGCTTGTGGAAATGAAAATTGGTTGTGGTGGCTGACTGTATTGAGGTTGGGGCCTGAGGCCTCCTGAATTCTTCTCCACACAGGCCACACTGTTTGGAAGAGGACAGATATGTCTGCTTCAAACACAAGTGCCGAAGGCCCTGTGACAGCCGGGGCCCCCATGCCCTTCGTTTAATATGTTCTGGTGATTAGAGGTCAAAGGGTGTAAGGACGAATGGTGGAATAAGGATGAATGGTGGGATATACAATATGCAGAGCTGGAGGAGGGGTAGGGATAGGCTTCAAGTAGATCTAAACCCAATCACTAAAACCTCACACAAGCTTTAAATTATAATGTTGCTTCAAAATTTGGTTTCAGTTTTTTTAAATTTGTAGCTTTTATTTAACTCCTTAAAGTTCAGCATAAGCATAAATGTGGCAGCACGGCATGGGCTTTACCACTGAGCTGCCACATGTACGCCGGCATCCCTTGTTTGTGATGGGAGAACAGTCCCGGTCAACTGTTTAGGAAACATAGTCATTTAGCAAGCTAAAAGGCATCCATTACATCTACTTTATTCATCAGCCAGGTGGGAGTGTGTTTTGGATAAGCTGTGTTGTTGACCTGGCTGTGCAGTCTGGCAGGGTATGTCTGAATCACATGACATATCTTTTAGGGAAAACGCATTTCATAGTTACATAGTTAGTCTGGCTGAAAAAAGACAAAAGTCCATCCAGTTCAAGCATAGAAAAAAAAAAGTTATAATCTTGCACCCACAGTTGATCCAGAGGAAGGCAAAAAAAACACAGCAAAACACGATCCAATTTGCTCCTGCTGGGAAAAAAATTCCTTCCTGATCCCCCCGAGAGGCAATCAGATATTCCCTGGATCAACTTTACCTATAAACGTTAGTATCCAGCTATACTCCGTGTATCTAAGAAAGAATCCAGGCCTCTTTTGAAGCAATCCACTGAGCTGGCCAGAACCAACTCTTGAGGGAGTCTATTCCACATTTTCACAGCTCTCACTGTGAAGAAACCTTTCCATGTTTGGAGATTAAATTTCTTTTCCTCCAGACGTAAAGAGTACCCCCTTGTCCTCTGTGATGACCTCAGGGTGAATAACTACACCGAGTTCACTACATGAACCACTGATGTATTTATACATGGAGATCATATCCCCCCTTATGTATTATACATGGAGATCATATCCCCCCTTATGTATTATACATGGAGATCTATCCCTCATTATGTATTATACATGGAGATCATATCCCCCCTTATGTATTGTACATGGAGATCATATCCCCACTTATGTATTATACATGGAGATCATATCCCCCCTTATGTATTATACATGGAGATCATATCCCCCCTTATGTATTATACATGGAGATCTATCCCTCATTATGTATTATACATGGAGATCATATGCCCCCTTATGTATTATACATGGTGATCATATCCCCCCTTATGTATTATACATGGAGATCATATTCCCCCCTTATGTATTATACATGGAGATCATATCCCCCTTATGTATTATACATGGAGATCATATCCCCCCTTATGTATTATACATGGAGATCATATTCCCCCCTTATGTATTATACATGGAGATCATATCCTCCCTTATGTATTATACATGGTGATCATATCCCCCCTTATGTATTATACATGGAGATCATATCCCCCCTTATGTATTATACATGGTGATCATATCCCCCCCCCTTATGTATTATACATGGAGATCATATCCCCCCTTATGTATTATACATGGAGATCATATCCCCCCTTATGTATTATACATGGAGACCATATCCCCCCTTATGTATTATACATGGAGATCTTATCCCTCATTATGTATTATACATGGAGATCATATCCCCCCTTATATATTATACATGGAGATCATATCCCCCCTTATGTATTATACATAGAGATCATATCCCCCTTATGTATTATACATGGTGATCATATCCCCCCCTTATGTATTATACATGGAGATCATATCTCCCCCTTATTTATTATACATGGTGATCATATCCCCCTTATGTATTATACATGGTGATCATATCCCCCTTATGTATTATACATGGTGATCATATCCCCCCCTTATGTATTATACATGGAGATCATATCTCCCCCTTATTTATTATACATGGTGATCATATCCCCCTTATGTATTATACATGGTGATCATATCCCCCCATATACATGGTGATCATATCTCCCCCTTATTTATTATACATGGTGATATATCCCCCTTATGTATTATACATGGTGATCATATCCCCCCTTATGTATTATACATGGAGATCATATCCCCCCCTTATGTATTATACATGGAGATCATATCCCCCTTATGTATTATACATGGTGATCATATCTCCCCCTTATGTATTATACATGGTGATCATATCTCCCCCCCCTTATGTATTATACATGGTGATCATATCCCCCTTATGTATTATACATGGTGATCATATCCCCCTTATGTATTATATACAGGGAGATCATATCCCTCCTTATGTATTATACATGGTGATCATATCCCCCTTATGTATTATACATGGAGATCATATCCCCCCCCTTATGTATTATACATGGTGATCATATCCCCCCTTATGTATTATACATGGAGATCATATCCCCCCTTATGTATTATACATGGTGATCATATCCCCCCTTATGTATTATACATGGTGATCATATCCCCCCTTATGTATTATACATGGAGATCATATCCCCCCCTTATGTATTATACATGGAGATCATATCCCCCCCTTATGTATTATACATGGTGATCATACCCCCCCCTTATGTATTATACATGGAGATCATATCCCCCCTTAATCTCCTCTTCTCAAGAGAGAATAAATTCAGTTCCTCTAATCTTTCCTCATAGCTGACCTCCTCCATGCCTCTTATCAGTTTGGTTGCCCTTCTCTGTACTTTCTCCTGTTCCCCAATGTTCTTTTTGTGAATTGGTGCCCAAAACTGAACTGCATACTCCAGATGAGGTCTTACTAATGATTTGTACGGGAGGATTTATATCGTCCTTCCTGGAGTCTATACCTCTTTTTATACAACAGAGGATTTTGCTCGCTTTAGAACCCGCAGCTTGGCATTGCATGTTTTTATTAAGCTTGTGATCTACCAGAACCTCCAGATCCTTCTCCACCATTGATTCCCCCAGAGAAGGAAAGATAAAAAGTTAATCTCCATTAACAGCAATGTCATTGACATAGGAAGTAGAGGGATATCTCCGCCATGGGGACAGCAGTAAAAAGACACTTCTCCACTCAATGAAAAAAAAAAAAACGTTTCCACTTTAAAATGTCCTACTTCTTAAATTCACTGTTTTTTTAGATCATTCTTCCCAAAACTTTCAGAATTAATAAAGCAGATGGTGGCTAAGCCTGAGGCAGGAGAAGGTTTGTTTCAGGTCCTCTCAAGAGAACGGTAGAACTGTGAGCTGTGGTGGTGATGGGTACAAGATAATGAGGAAATGTTGACACCAGGAAATAATTGGAGGTACAAATGATGGGTGGAAGGTACAGAAAGGTGGGACTTACAGTCAAATTTCAAACTTTTCTTTTTCGTGTCTATAGGGTGATATAAACAAACCTCTAATGAAGGAATGCTGCAATTTTTGCATTGTTTTCTGTACTTCTTTTTTTTGTTTCCCAACCAACCTTTCTACCCCCAGCAGAAGTCCAAATCAAAGTTCAAGTGTTTGAGAATGGCGACCTTTCCCCTTTGGCCTCAGCGGTGGTGGAGATTTTCGGCAATCAGAGCAGCTTGGCGTCTGGCGTCACCGACCAGGATGGCATAGCGGTGCTGGGCATCAACTACAGACTAGGTACCTGGATCCTCGTCACCGCCAGCAAGAGAGGCTACGTCACCAACTCTGTGCCCTGGAGAGTGGATAGACTGCCACGTAAGGATTGTGAGACATAGCGTATGTATGTATGTCTGTGCAAGTGTGTACGTCATTGTGTCTGTGACACCAAAAGGTTTTTATGGATAGATTGGATACCAAGTGGTCTCATACACATTATGAGCTCTATACAGTTGCCCTTTGATCTACATAAAGCTGTGCAGTGCAAAGGCCGGCTTGAATAGTCAGTCTGATTTGCCAGCTTTAAACTTCTGTGTAATTCCATCCCAAGGTGGAAGATTTCTTTAAATGCGTGGCCAACCTTAGACCTTTCCTTTGCTGATCTTTATCATTTTCAATGCAACCAATCGAAAGTCAAGCGTAATTCGGTAAAGGACTTTTCCAGTAAGCCATGAGTTTTTTTTCTGCAGCCTGTTTTTAGAGAAGTTCATTTTCCCACCTGTCTTTTGTGGTCAGATGGATATTCTTGTTAACAAAATGACAGCTGTGTGTATGTATATGGAAGTGGTCTATTACAGATTTCTAGAATGCTCTTTGCCTTTTGCAGGGGTGGGCAACTGTGGCCCTCCAGCTGTTAATGAACTACAAGTCCCATCATGCCTCTGCCTTTGGGAGTCATGCTTGTAACTGTCAGTTTTGCAATGCCTAATGGGACTTGTAGTTCTTCAACAGCTAGAGGGCCACAGTTGCCCACCCTTGGCCTATTGTATGCTCTAATTCTAGAGACTTGGGAACGTGGAAAGATGTCACTGGATCCCAGGGTTGTCATATTGGTATTGCCATCCAGTAATTATATGATGGCGTTGGTAGAGGGTGTCTGGTTACCAGGGTGGCATCTTCTACACCAGGGGTCTCTAAACTTTCTAAAAAAAGGGCCAGTTTACTGTCCTTAAGACTTCTGGGAGGCCAGTCTGTGGTCATTAGGAGTAGAAATTGACCGGGCATCAGTGGGAATAAACAATGCAAACAATAGCACCCCATCGTTGGTGTCAGTGGGAGAAAATGTGCCCCAACAGTGGTGTCAATGGGAGGAAATATGCCCCATCATTGGTGTAAGTAGGAGGAAATGTGCCCCATCATTGGTGTTAGTGGGGGAAATCTGCCCCATCATTGGTGTCAGTAGGAGGAAATGTGCCCCATCATTGGTGTTAGTGGGGGAAATCTGCCCCATCATTGGTGTCAGTAGGAGGAAATGTGCCCCATCATTGGTGTTAGTGGGGGAAATGTGCCCCATCATTGGTGTTAGTGGGGGAAATGTGCCCCATCATTGGTGTCAGTAGGAGGAAATGTGCCCCATCATTGGTGTCAGTAGGAGGAAATGTGCCCCATCATTGGTGTTAGTGGGGGAAATGTGCCCCATCTTTGGTATCAATGGGGAAATGGTTTCCCATTCTTGATGTCAGTGGGGAGGAATAGTGTCTTGTATCAGGCTAGTGACACCCATTCAACAGCATGCACAGATGTGAATGCACTGCTTTGCCTAAAGTGCATTACATTGTACGTTGAAGCTCGTTAAGGGCCCTTTCAAGGTTCTCTTGTGCACAGGCGTCAATTAACCCTTAGTTATTTATCACTAGCGATTTATGTAGCACAACTGAGCCACTATACATTGAGGGAACTTTATGAATCCTGGAGCAGCTGTGCATGGCAACCAATCAGCTTCTATCTTTCATTTTCAAAGCTTAACTGAACAATCTGAAGATAGAAGCTGATTGGTTGTTATGCAAAATTGCTCCAGATTCTATCTGCTCCAGTTTTGTTCAGTTCCCCTCGTTATCCTTTTAGCTCTAGCCTAAGGGCTAATGCACACAGCTGATTAGAGCTGTTCGCCACCCAAATCAGCATATTTCTGCAGCAGGTAAAGCCTAGTACACATGATCAGAAAATCGTACGAAAAATCCCGCTTTCAAAGCGATCACATGATAATCTGATTGTTGGTATTCTCATCCTGTGTATGGGGCATAAGGCTAGGTGTTTCCAATTGGCTGTACAGATCAATGATGCTGTCTGCAGTTGTTTGCGTGTAATCGCACATGAAACGATTACCTGTGGTTAAGGGCGGATGTTCACCCCTGAACACATCCAGGGGAGCGCACCCATCCCTAAATGCAGATAATCGCTCCATGCTCCATTACGGCTGATCATAAACACATGGCCCTACCACCGCAGGCATACCTTGATCTAGGCCAGGGGTCTCCAAAGATTTTAAACACAGGGCCAGTTAACAGTTCTTGAGAATTCAGGGGGCCCAGCCTATGGCCAGTGGGAGTAGAAACTGGCCTGGCGAATAGTTAGAGTATACAATGCCCTATCTTTGGTGTCAGTGGGAGTAATAGTGCCCCATCGGTGGTGATATTCGTGGAAGGAATAGTGTCCCATCATTGGTGTCAGTGGGAGGAATAGTGTTCCATCACTGGTATCAGTGGAAGGAATAGTGCCCCATCATTGGTGTCAGTGGGAGGAATAGTGCCCCATCATTGTTGTCCGTGGGAGGAATAGTGCCCCATCTTTGGTATCAGTGGGAGGAATAGTGCCCCATCATTGGTATCAGTGGGAGGAATAGTGCCCCATCATTGGTGTCAGTGGGAGGAACAGTGCCCCATCATTGGTGTCCATGGGAGGAATAGTGCCCCATCATTGGTATCAGTGGGAGGAATAGTGCCCCATCATTGGTTTCAGTGGGAGGAATAGTGCCCCATCATTGGTGTCAGTGGGAGGAATAGTGCCCCATCATTGGTATCAGTGGAGGAATAGTGCCCCATCATTGGTGTCAGTGGGAGGAATAGTGCCCCATCATTGGTGTCAGTGGGAGGAATAGTGCCCCATCATTGGTATCAGTGGGAGGAATAGTGCCCCATCATTGGTATCAGTGGAAGGAATAGTGCCCCATCATTGGTATCAGTGGGAGGTAATAGTGCCCCATTATTGGTATCGGTGGAAGGAATAGTGCCCCATCATTGATGTCAGTGGGAGGAATAGTGCCCCATCATTGGTATCGGTGGTAGGAATATAGCCGCATCATTGGTGTCCGTGGAGGAATAGCAAGGGAGAATGTCACCAGCACACCGAGGATCACCAATATGGCTCCAAGCGTTTTAATAAATGATGACATAGTTACAGCAAGGCAACATTTAGGAGTCTCGCAGGACCTCTTCATCAGCGATGTGATGGTGTCAATTGAAGAAATAGGTGTCACTGTCATTGGTTTCACTGGGAAGCAATAGTGCCTCTACCTTGATATCAGTGGGAGGAATAGTGCCCCATCATTGCTATCGATGGGAGGAATAGTGCCCCATCATTGGTATCGGTGGAAGGAATAGTGCCCCATCATTGGTATCATTGGTATCGGTGGAAGGAATAGTGCCCCATCATTGGTGTCAATGGGAGGAATAGTGCCCATCATTGGTATCAGTGGGAGGAATAGTGCCCCATCCTTGATGTCAGTGGGAGGAATAGTGCCTCATCCTTGATGTCAGTGGGAGGAATAGTGCCCCATCCTTGGTATCGGTGGAAGGAATAGTGCCCCATCATTGGTATCGGTGGAAGGAATAGTGCCCCATCATTGGTATCAGTGGGAGGAATAGTGCCCCATTATTGGTATGGTGGAAGGAATAGTGCCCCATCCTTGATATCAGTGGGAGGAATAGTGCCCCATCATTGGTGTCCATGGGAGGAATAGTGCCCCATCCTTGATGTCAGTGGGAGGAATAGTGCCTCATCCTTGATATCAGTGGGAGGAATAGTGCCCCATCATTGGTATCAATGGAAGGAATAGAGCCCAATCCTTGCTGGCAGTTGAAGAAATAGTGCCCCATCAATGGTATCATTGAAAGGAATAATGCCTCATCATTGGTGTCAGTAGAAGGAATTGCACCCTTTCGTTGGTGTCAGTGAGAAGAATAGTGCCCCATTGCTGGTGTCAGTGAAAGGGATAGTGGCCCATTGTTGGTATCAATGGAAAGAATTCTGCCCAATTGTTGTCAATGGAAGGAACTGTGCCCCATCATTGGTGTCAGTGGAAGGAATTATGCCCTTTCGTGGGTGTCTGCGGGAGGAATAGTGACTGGATTTATGCCCAATTGTTGGTGTCAGTGGAATATGTAATAGTGCCCAAGGGCCAGATAAAGAGAGGCAAAGAACCGCATCTCTCCCCCTGGCCGCAGTGTGGAGACCACTGATCTAGGCGGTGTACAGCCCTAATTGGCCATGTTGTAGTTGGGTAAACCTAGTATGATCGTATTGAATCCAGAGGGGGGAAGAGCTACAAACCCCAGCTGGAAAATCTCCCCAAGGATAAGTGTTATTCTCGGTTGATGACAGAAATGTACCATATCTCTTCATATCTGGATAAAGTCATTGTTGAGTGATTTACGGCTCCATCTGGAATTGAAATGCTGATTTTGGGTGGACACGGGCTGTAAAAATTGGCCCAGCTTCTAAAGTGTTGTAAATGCATTCTGCACGCCTTCCTGCCTCTTCCCACTATGGATTGTTCCACAGGCGATGTGTATAGTGTCATATTTACAGCTTCCTTACATTTTGTCTGGCAGGATGTATGCAGCTTCCTGTCTTCTTATCCAAGGTCACAAGACGGCATTCATTGGCATTGCTGTCACAGTAATCTTTTCTGGCAGTGCCTCCGCTGTATGTCCACCTCCCCCATATATGATATCATTGTGTCTTCTATACTCCCCTCGCTTATCACATTGACACATCTCAGAAAGCCTTGAATGTCCCCAACAGTGATCAGCCATTGAAGAGGTCACGGGGACGTGCTTCTCAGAGCTGCTTATTACATGAATGAATCCGATTGGCAGGATGCAAAATGTCAGACCCCCACCGGTCATAATTACACAGCGGGTGGTAGGGTTTTCCATTCTATAGCTGAATGCAGAAATTCTTCTTGATCACATTGGAGTTGATTTACTAAAACTGAAGAGTGCAAAATCTGGTGCAGGTCTGCATAGAAATCAGTCAGCTTCAAGTTTTTTTTTTTTTTTTTTGTCAAAACGTAAAATGATACTAAACACACACTATTTTAATTTACATGATCCCTTCTCTTTCTCTATGTGTGCTTTTTTTCATTAGAATAATTACAGTGCCATCAAAGTCCCTTTTTCCTAATCAATATACAGTTGTCACATGACCCAGCTCTTTCCCAGCCTGTCTGCAAGGAAAGATTGGCAGGAGGAGCTTCTAGTCCTCTGCTGATAGTCCCATGCTCAAAAATAAAAAAACAGCCTTTGGCAGTAAAAAATAAATAGTGTCAATAAACTGTTTTAAATCATCATACAAATATATATATTTTTATATATATTATTTTATATATATTATTTTGCGAAAATAATATGGTGTGTCACGCCCCTCCAGCCTATGTCTTAGAATAAGAGGGAAGTGATTCCTCCATTAATTTACCTGTGATATCCTGCCCCCATTGTGTTTAGCTGGTTAGTGGGCGAGGAGGAGGAGGAGGGAGGGAGTTGGCTGTCATTTATCACTGTTATATCCCCATATGTGTGAATCTATAGTCACATGGGCTGCTCAGATGTGACAGGGACAGCACAGCAACTCGCTGAAAACTGAGCATGTGCAGAGTTGCCTCTACAGCTGCAAAATCCCTAGCTGAAATGGGGGCATGTACAGTAGGTGGAGAGAGAGAGCAGCAGGATCAACCAGGTTCAAAAATAAAAAACAGCCTTTGAGATACAGAGTAAAAAATAAATAATATCATTAAACTGTTTTAAATCATCATATAAATATATATTTGAAATCAATTATTTAGCGGAAATAATATGGTGTGTCACGCCCCTCCAGCCTGCATCTTAGAATAAGAGGGAGGTGATTCCTCCATTAATTTACCTGTGATATCCCATGCCCCCATTGTGTTTAGCCAGTCAGTGGGCATGGAGGAGGAGGAGGGAGGGAGTGGGCTGTCATTTACCACTGTGTATATGCCCATATGTGTGAATCTATAGTCACATGGGCTGCTCAGATGTGACAGAGAAGACATGCTCAGGCGCAGCAACTCGCTGAAAACTGAGCATGTGCAGAGTTGCCTCTACAGTTGCAAAATCCCTAGCTGAAATGGGGCATGCACAGTAGGTGGAGATAGAGAGCAGCAGGATCAACCAGGTTTTTTGCAGACTACAGAAAATGAATCTGATAGTGACTGAGTGAGTATGAACAGCATGTAATACAGCATTTGTTGATAGTTTTTTTTATAAAGTGAGCTTAGTGACTCTTTAATTAAACAAGCTGAAGTTAGAAATTGATTGGCTAGCATGCACAGCTGCACCAGATTTTGCACTCTCCAATTTGAGTAAATCTTCCCTGTTATTTCTGATTTGGAACTGTAGTGCGTATCCTTCGGTCTTAGATGTTAGGTCATGGAGAGAGCCAGTTACAACTGGACAACTGGCCTTCTACAAGAATCTGAATATTTACACTTAAAGGACCTATCCATGCCAAACTGACAATTAAGTTTTTGGTAGCTGCCAAAGAGTTTAAGTGAATCTCTAGCATTTTTTTTTTTAGGTACTGTTTTTCTCCCTTTCTTTGTGTGTTCCAGAATCTTACAACCTAGCAGAGATTTGAGTCTTTTTTTCTCTCTCTTTCAATGCAGTGTATGCCTCTGTAAGTTTGTACCTCCTTCCTGAAAGACCCGCCACACTAATCCTCTATGAGGATATTGTGCAGATTCTACTGGGCTCTCCAGGTAAGCTTTATTTAGTTTGGGTTTTTAATGGCCCTTTTCTGTTTTATATCTTGATGTCGTTGTATGTTATATTTGGTGATATCACAGGTTTATATTGTATTACAATGCATGCTCTTGTACAAGCAACATTTACACTCATTGGTCTCTTTTATAGGTACACTTATGGTGGTCATACATGGTTAGAAAATAGTTAGAAAACGCATTCGATGCGCTCAATTATTCGACATTCAATACGTTAGTGGGCTTATTTCGATTCTAGAAATGTGAAGAAGTTTTATGACAAAAAAAGAACCGCCATTTGGGATTTTTGTAGCATAAACGATCAATTTTCTAAACGTTTGTAGTGGATTCGATTGGAAACAGTTCAAAAAAACCTACAGCGCCCGTGCGTGTTATTTATTTATTTCAGGTACTTATATAGCGCTGTCAATTTACGCAGCACTTTACATATATATTGTACATTCACATCAGTCCCTAACCCTCAAGGAGCGTACAATATAAGGTCCCTAACTCACATTCATACATACTAGGTCCAATTTATACAGGAACAAATTAAGCTACCAGCATGTCTTCGGAGTGTAGGAGGAAACCGGAGTACTCGGAGGAAACCCATGCAGGCACAGGAAGAACATGCAAACTCCAGGCAGGTGGTGCTGTGGTTGGGATTCGAACCAACGACCATAGTACTGCCAGGTGGAAGTGCTAACCATTTAGCATCCTCCCTTTGGAACCTTTTGCACAGCTGGTGGCTCCTACATCGGGTTGTCACTGACAGCTTATGTCCCCACTTGGGAACCAATCGTACTGATTCTAGATCATGTGAAATTAGCCGTAACATAGTGATTACCTGCAAGTGGTGGCTTGATTGACAAAATAAACCGAAAGCCTGATTATGTCACTGCTACCTCAAGGTGGCAGTGTTTATTTGTTTCATACTGTACTTGTAAGATACAATTATAGTAGTAAAATGTATTTTTTTTACAATACACAAATCATAATACATTTTACTACGTATTAAAACAAATAGCAAATAAGCTCCTAATGGACTTTTTTTTTAAAAATATAGTGCATGCAAATTAGTCATAGAAATGTTGTCAAGTTAACCTACACCAATGCTGACATTGTGACCTAAGTATCTAGGCATTAGTTCCCTTTGGTCATGAAAAGGGTTAAAGTGGAAGACGTGAATAGGGCCTCTGGCAGTGATTCATATGATAGACTCTGCTACAGTTAGGTAGACTGACAAGTGTTCAGCTGATAGCTTTCTTTTGCTAATATGACTGCCTGGTGAATCAGAGTAGACCAGATATAGAAGCAGCAGATGGTGTGAATCACCTAAAGGCTTATGTAATAAACAGTTCAAAGAACAATATGTGCTGTGACCATATCAGTAAGTCATAAAATCAGTCTATGCAAAAACTGCAACAAGCTGATTTATAATTGGTTAATGCAAACAGCAGATTGTAGTTAGAGGTACTAGACCAGAATAGAGTAATATGCCTATATTAATACATGCATGACAGTCAAACAATGAAAACCAAGAAATATTGGCTGAATCCTTTCTTCTTTACTTGGCAGGCTTATGTAGGTTTAGGTTAAATGGTGCAATTAAAGGAAGAACATTTAAAAAAAAAAAATGGTATATACAACTCTACAATTTACTTAGAGCTGATTAAACTAGGTGTTGAATATCAAGAGACGTTTCCTTTCCCCTTGATGTTTAGTTTTTATGGGCTACAGCATTATTGCTCTGAGCTATTTTATTGTTTCCCTCCATCTTGTCTTCATTGGGAAGTCCAGAAAATATTATTTCGTTACGCACCTTTCCAAATTACCTGTAAAAGCAACATGTACACTGTTGCACCTAGGTTATATTTACAGACAGGTTTGACAGACATTATGAATTACGTATGCATTTTAATTTAGAGTAGAGTTCTACATTAACAAATAGAATGTATGGTTCTGTTGTTTATACCCTATATCCTTGTCTACAGGTGTCCGCAGCCAACCCGTAGTTCAGTTTCAGAGGAAGTCTATCCGTTTACCCCGATCCTCCACCTATACCCAGCTGTCATCCTCTCTTACTACCACTAGCAATCTCCACCAGATGAAAGGATTCCCCGCATTCATTGGGGCCGATCCAGATTCAAGCAACGGTGGTAAGACCTGGCAAATAAGATACTAGCTTTTCCTTTGAGGGCTAGCGTACATGGCCATCAAAAGCTAAGGGATCCAAGCAATACAACATAATGTAGAAAAAAAAAGAATGGTCAAACTTTTAAGATGTGTTTGAAGTAAGTCATGTAGTGTTTAGGGCTAGGGGGAAGAGTCATGTAGTTTGTAAGTCTAAAAGGAGGAGCCACGTAGTGTCTAGGTCTAGAGGGAGCAGCCATATAGTGTGTCTTGGTCTAGGTCTAGAAGGAAGAACCATGTTGTGTCTAGGACTAGAGGGAAGAACCATGTTGTGTCTAGGACTAGAGGGAAGAATCATGTTGTGTCTAGGTCTAGAAAGAAGGGACAAATATGTAGCATGTTTAGGTATAAAAGGAAGAGCCATGTAGTGTATCTAAGCCTGTGGGGAAGAATCATGTCTAGTTCTAGAGTGAAGAGCCATGTAATGTTTAGGTCTAGAGGGAAGAGTCATGTCAAATCTAGGTCTTGAGTGTAGAGCCATGTAATGTTTAGGTCTAGAGGGAAGAGTCATGTCAAATCTAGGTATAGAGGGAAGAGTCCTGTCAAATCTAGGTCTACAGGGAAGAGCCATGTAATGTTTAGGTCTACAGGGAAGAGTCATGTCAAATCTAGGTAGAGAGGGAAGAGTCATGTCAAATCTAGGTCTACAGGGAAGAGCCATGTAATGTTTAGGTCTACAGGGAAGAGTCATGTCAAATCTAGGTATAGAGGGAAGAGTCATGTCAAATCTAGGTCTACAGGGAAGAGCCATGTAATGTTTAGGTCTACAGGGAAGAGTCATGTCAAATCTAGGTATAGAGGGAAGAGTCATATCAAATCTAGGTCTACAGGGAAGAGCCATGTAATGTTTAGGTCTAGAGGGAAGAGTCATGTCAAATCTAGGTATAGAGGGAAGAGCCATGTAATGTTTAGGTCTAGAGGGAAGAGTCATGTCAAATCTAGGTCTAGAGGGAAGAGCCAAAGAGTTTCCAGGTCTAGAGGGAAGAACCTTGTAGAATCCAGCTCTAGAGGAAAGAGCCATGTATTGTTTAGCTCTGGAGGGAACAGTCATATAGTGTGTCTAGGTCTAGAGTGAAGAGTTATGTTGCGTGTCTAGGTCTAGAGGAAACAGCTATGTAGTGTGTCTAGGTCTAAAGGGAAGAGCCAAGTATTGTCTAAGCCTGGAGAAAACAGCCATGTTGTGTGTCTAGGTCTAGAGTGAAGAGGTATGTAGTGTGTAGGTCTAGAGGGAAGAGCCATGTTGTGTCTAGGTCTAGAGGGAAGAGCCATGCATTGTCTAGGCCTGGATGGAACAATCATGTAACATGTCTAGGTCTAGAGTGAAGAGGTTTGTATTGTGTCTAGGTCTAGAGCAGGGGTGTCAAACTCAATTTCATCGTGGGCTGTATCAGCATTATGGTTGCCCTAAAAGGGCTGGTTGTATCTGTAAGACTAGATGTCCAGAGCACCCCACCACCCATTACATCAGATGTCAAGAATCCTGCACCCTTCCTAACATCACTGTGCACCCCCTTTGGGAGCATAGCTGGAAAGCAGAAAGTGCAGGGTCTTGAGGAGGACCAGAGGAGGAGTGGAGTCAGTTACCAGAGTCTGCTGATTTCTGAGACCAGGGGAGGCAGAGATGAGAGTGTCCTTCAGCTGCACTGAGAGGTGCAGGATTTGGCAAAGGAGTTGTATTCCTTCTGCTGCTGACTACTGAGACAAGGTGGGGGCAGAGACAAGGGGGTACCTGCAGGAGAGGTGCCCCACAAAATGGCCTGGAGGGCTGGATTCAGCCCACAGGCCTTGTGTTTGATACCTGTTGTCTAGAGGAAGAGCCATGCATTGTCTAGGCCTTGAGGGAACAGACATGTAACATGTCTAGGTCTAGAGTGAAGAGGTATGTAGTGTGTAGGTCTAGAGGGAAGAGTCATGTAGTATCTAGGTCTAGAGGGAAGAGCCATGTATTTTCTAGGCCTGGAGGGAACAGTCATGTAATGTGTCAAGGTCTAGAGGGAAGAGTCATGTAGTATCTAAGTCTAGAGGGAAGAACCATGCATTGTCCAGGTCTTGAGGGAACAGTCATGTAACATGTCTAGGTCTAGAGGGAAGAGTCATGTAGTATCTAAGTCTAGAGCAGTGGTTCTCAACCTGTGGGTCACGACCCCTTTGGGGGTCGAACAACCTTTTCACAGGGGTCGCCTAAGACCATCGGAAAACACATATTTCCGATGTGTAAAGAGAAGCTACTGTGTAGAAAGCAGCTGCTGTGTTGAAAGCTGCTACTCTGTTAAAAGCAGCTATGTTGAAAGAAGCAGTATTGGAGGTAAAAACGACACTTCATGAATTATAATTACTGGGTAAATAATTTTACGGTTGGGGGTCACCACAACATAAAGAACTGTATTAAAGGGTCGCAGCATTAGGAAGGTTGAGAACCACTGGCCTAGAGGGAAGAGCCATGCATTGTCTAGACCTGGAGGGAACAGTCATGTAACATGTCTAGATCTAGAGTGAAGAGTTTTGTAGTGTGTCAAGGTCTAGAGCAGCGGTTCTAAACCTGGGGGTCGCGACCCCTTTGGGAGTCGAACGACCATTTCACAGGGGTCGCCTAAGACCATCGGAAAACACATATTTCCGATGGTCTTAGGAACCCAGACACCGCTCCTGTCTCAGGCGATCTGTGCGCGGGATGATATGCTGCCCCTGTAACCTGGCCACACCTCCGGGATCACTCAACAGCTCCGCCTCCTCGCCGCTGATTGGCCACCGGAACTGTAGCTCAGGAGAGGCACACAGGCGGCCAATCACCAGCGAGGAGGTGGAGCTTGGAGAGGAGGAGCCGAGCGGCAGCGCGCGGAGATCAAAGAAGATCGAGGGAGCTGCAGGAGCGAGTGAAGAGAGAGGCCAGAGAAGGAAGACAGCTGACAGGTAAGTGCAAATTTTGCTGCTGCAGCCAGGTATGCTGACTGTAGATGGGAGAGGAAGAGAGCGAGCCCAGGCTGGAGCAGGAGTCAGCAAGGTAAGTATCATTGGTGTCAGTGGAAGGGATAGTGCCCCATCATTTGTGTCACTAATACCAACGATGGGGCACTATTCCTCCTCCCCCCACTGACACCAACGATGGGGCACTATTCCTCCCCCCACTGACACCAACGATGGGGCACTATTCCTCCCCCCACTGACACCAACGATGGGGCACTATTCCTCCCCCCACTGACACCAAGAATGGGGCACTATTCCTCCCCCCACCGACACCAATGATGGGACACTATTCCTCCCGCTGACACCAAAGATGGGACACTATTTCCCCCCCCCCCCCCCCCACTGACACCAATGATGGGTCACTATCCCCCCCCCCCCCACTGACACCAATGATGGGTCACTATTCCCCCCCCTGACCCCAATGATGGGGCACTATTCCCCCCTCCACCACACTGACATCAATGATGGGGCACTATTCCTCCCACTGACACCAATGATGGGGCACTATTCCTCCCACTGACACCACTGATGGGTCACTATTCCCCCCCCCTGACCCCAATGATGGGGCACTATTCCCCCCTCCACCACACTGACATCAATGATGGGGCACTATTCCTCCCACTGACACCAATGATGGGGCACTATTTCTCCCACTGATACCAATGATGGGGCACTATTCCTCTCACTGACACCAATAATGGGGCACTATTCCTCCCACTGACACCAATGATGGGGCACTATTCCTCCCACTGACACTAATGATGGGGCACTATTCCTCCCACTGACACCAATGATGGGGCACTATTCCTCCCACTGACACCAATGATGGGGCACTATTCCTCCCACTGACACCAATGATGAGGCACTATTCCTCCCAATGACACCCACAATGGGGCACTATTCCTCCCACTGAGACCCACAATGGGGCACTATTCCTCCCACTGACACCAATGATGGGGCACTATTCCTCCCACTGACACCAATGATGGGGCACTATTCCTCCCACTGATACCAATGATGGGGCACTATTCCTCCCACTGACACCAATGATGGGGCACTATTCCTCCCACTGACACCAATGATGAGGCACTATTCCTCCCAATGACACCCACAATGGGGCACTATTCCTCCCACTGACACCCACAATGGGGCACTATTCCTCCCACTGACACCAATGATGGGGCACTATTCCTCCCACTGACACCAATGATGGGGCACTATTCCTCCCACTGATACCAATGATGGGGCACTATTCCTCCCACTGACACCAATGATGGGGCACTATTCCTCCCACTGACACCAATGATGAGGCACTATTCCTACCAATGACACCCACCATGGGGCACTATTCCTCCCACTGACACCCACAATGGGGCACTATTCCTCCCACTGACACCAATGATGGGGCACTATTCCTCCCACTGACACTAATGATGGGGCACTATTCCTCCCACTGATACCAATGATGGGGCACTATTCCTCCCACTGACACCAATGATGGGGCACTATTCCTCCCACTGACACCAATGATGAGGCACTATTCCTCCCAATGACACCCACCATGGGGCACTATTCCTCCCACTGACACCCACAATGGGGCACTATCCCTCCCACTGACACCAATGATGGGGCACTATTCCTCCCACTGACACTAATGATGGGGCACTATTCCTCCCACTGACACCAATGATGGGGCACTATTCCTCCCACTGACACCAATGATGAGGCACTATTCCTCCCAATGACACCCACAATGGGGCACTATTCCTCCCACTGACACCCACAATAAGGCACTATTCCTCCCACTGACACCCACGATGGGGCACTATTCCTCCCACTGACACCCACGATGGGGCACTATTCCTCCCACTGACACCCACGATGGGGCACTATTCCTCTCACTGACACCCACGATGGGGCACTATTCCTCCCACTGACACCAATGATTGGGCACTATTCCTCCCACTGACGCCAATGATTGGGCACTGTTCCTCTCACT